GGATATGCAATCAAGGATATTATCTGCTATTCCCATGTAAACTGTGTACTGCGCACGACCTACTTGTTGCAAGCTTTCCAAGAAGCTGCATGGGCTTCTGCATCCTCATCCTCATCCTCAGGCAAGCTGTTACAAACCCAAGTGGAGGGGGGGAACAATTGGAGATGATGGTCAGATGCCTACATGTTGTTTCAGTCTTTAGTTATATGGTATCTTTTGTAGGCAGGATCCTCTTCCACCTCCTCTTTCTGGTCCTGTGGCTATAGGGAGATTCTCAAACTCCAGGAAATTTAAAGTCCATCCTTGTGGAGAGAAAAAAAAACCCCTTCTCCTGAGGTCAAGTCTGGCAACTTTGCCCCACTGAGGGAGAGAGGGAAGGAAGAGGCATGGCCCTTAAAGCGGTGTCCAGCCGCGTTCTTTATACAGTGTAGATGCAGCCTTCTGTAGAAAGAATACCGTTCTTGACCCCACTCTGACTGCCGCTGCTCCATCCTACAGAATGCTAGGATTTGTCATTTCCTGAGGCACTGGCCCTCTTTGGCAGAGAAGGCTCAAGACCTGGCCTTGTAAGACTGCAAATCCCAGGAGTCCATCCATAGCCTGAGTGAGGCCAGTCCAACCTCATTCTTCCAACAGGGCGGGTGGGCCATTAGAAACTCCACTTTGGGGCTGCTGGGGGCCTTCGGGTCATGTCCAGCTTTTAGGGTGACCCGAAGGCGAACCACTGAGGCCAGGGTTTGACTCCTGCTTTGGCCATGAAACCTTCCTGAATGAGCCTGGGCAGGTCACACTCTCTTAGCCTCAGAGGATGGCCATGGCAAAAAAAAATGACCCAAAGAAAGTTACCCAAAAAAAAACCCATGAGAGGTTGGAATGACTTGAAACACTACCACTACACACTGGTGCTCCCAATATAGTGTAACCTTTAGGTGTAGAGCAGGGGTTGGCAAACTATGGCCCGTGGGCCAAACCCGGCCCGTTGAGGCCTTGTTACCAGCCCCTGGACCTTCCTGCCACCGCCGCCTTTCTCGTGCGTGTCTCCGGCCACCATTTTGTGTTCCGCCACGGGGAACACAAAATGGCGGCTGGGATGCATATGAGCCAGTGAGCGTGCAGCCTCCTCTGCCCCTTTCTCCACCCTCCGCATGCGAACGTCCAACCCCGCATAAATAGAAGAGCAGGAATGGAGTGCGTGAGGGAGGAGAGCGAGAACCACGAGGAGAGAGGTTGGTTCAGAGGGGGAGGGAACTTCCCATTGCTATTGCCTCCCTTGTTGTTGTTGTTATGTGGCTTCAAGTCGTTTCCGACTTATGAGACCCTATCCTGTGGTTTTCTTGGGGGTTTCAGAGGGGGTTTGCCATAGCCTTCCTCAGAGGCACGAGGAGAAGGGTTGGTTCGCCAGGGGAGGGGAGGGAACTTGCCACTGCTGTTGCCTCCCTTGCTGCTGTTGTTGTGTGGCTTCAAGTCATTTC